AAGAGGTGTGTCTGTGTAGGAAACTGAAACTGTGCTTCCTATCCAAGCCCTCCCTCCTTAGCAGAGAGAGGAGGGAAAGTAAAACCTGCACGTCACAAACAGAGACAGCAAAGGGCATGGATTTAAATAAAACAGTCAATTAAAAGAGAAGTATGCAGGGCTGCTCCCATTGTTTTGCAATGACAACTTGAATCAAAATGTCTTTAGCTGGCTGACTGGTCTGATACAATTCATAATCTAATCTCCAACAGAGACAACAAATCTGGGAAGACATACCAGGAGCTGGGTGAATGGTTTTCTGTTTCCTGAATAAACTGCCAGACACAGCTGCTACATAATCAAGGCAGATAGTGTCAGCCGACGGTCAGGGCAGTGTGTATGTGCTATACACCCGAGACTTTAACTGCTGAGACCGGGGTCCCTTGCAGCAGGCAACCTGGAGGAGGCTGACGGGTGCCCAATAAGTGTACAGGGAGAGCTTATTACACTTCAGATTTTAGCTGCTAGAATCTGTGATTTCTTCGCAGCGGGCAGCCTGGGAGAGGCTGAGAAGTGCCCCAACGGATCTGCCACCTGGGAGTGACACAAATCCAAACGCCCAAGCTCTCCCTATATCTGTCCCTTAAGACCGGCTGAAGTTCTTTTAAATTGTGCCTGGTTCTGTTACAGCAACTGAAGGAGTCAGGTTAAAGCTTAAACAGTTACAGGTTTATTGAGGAAGCTTATAAATCATATGGTTGCAATGGCTATTGTTCTATTTCTTAACTGCTAGCAAAATATAGATCTTAAAAATGGTTACAAAGAAGATAAGGATAGGAAAAACAGAAATAATAGTACCAAGTAACAGCTTAACCTTTAAAGAGCTCTAAGTCTGTGTACACTTAAGACAGAGGACCACATCCAGGTACAATTTTTACCCCCTTCTGTGCCTCTCGACTCCAGCGTGTCAGGCCAGGGCCGGTCCCTCAATTCCTAGGAAAGACAAAAATATGAGGTGGGCGTCCCCATAGAACCTCGGGAGGTCAAACACCTGACCCGACCAGCAGGTAGAGGGTAGAATGACACTCAAAAGTGAGTGCGCTGCTGTACCCACCTTTATACCCATTGGGTCACGTATTTCTCTTTCTTATCTGTGATGCCAAATGGTGCTGTTCTGTCTTTTGTGAGACCAGTTCTTACAAGGGAGTTGTGAACTTAATTTACACTTGTAAGAGAGAGTTGAGAGGATTAAATTGGAAGTACTGGGGATTCTTTTTCTCAGTGGGAAATTCCTCTCCCAGGGACTGTGTGTATTCGAATCAACATGGGTGCCAGCCGGGTACTTCTCGCAGCCTCAAGGCCAGCTTATTGCCTTAATCGTTCTCTTCTCATATCTATGTTTTCAGCTTTTCAGGATCAGATGAGCCAGCATAGACTATGCTGATATTATTGCTCCTTCTCTGTCCTGTATGCTTCAGGAACCTCAGAGAGGCAAAATAAGATGGATGAGATGGGGGGTGGGGGGCTGTCTGGCTACAGATAGGCTTTTTAAGAGCTTGCCTGAAAAAGCAGGCTAATCAGGTACCAGCGGTCAATTAGGTCTTCTGGGCTACTTTAAAAGGTTTATAGAAGAGGAAGGAGAAGAGTGAAGGACTGAAAGGAGGAAGTGTGTTGCTGGAGAGCTGAGGACTGCAAAAAGGAAAGATTCACTGAGGTACCAGGGAGAAAGTATTAGGGGGACCAATCTCCCAGGCCTGGAAGCAGCCTTGGCCGTGTTGGCCAGTCTTCTGGGCCTGGCAGTGGCCCTGGTGGCCAATCCAGTCTTCCCCATCCCCCTCTTCCCACATGAGGCTGGAGTGCTGGGGAGTCAGGTGTGTCAGTTGGGAGCCACATGAGTGAGGGTTGGTTTTTTTTGGAGGGTTAGGGTTTTTTTTTGCATCTCACTTGCATGGTCCCTGACTGATTTTTCTGTAGGTCAATTGACCCTGACCCCAAAAAGGTTCCGTGCCTTTCCCTGCCCCTCCCATAAATAAAGACAATGCTGAAACCATTTGTGCTGGGCTTAATATTTTACTTTATTTATTTTAAAAATGAAATCTAGCTGACAAGCCCCCAGTTGGGGACCAGCCCCCATCTGGCTACAGCACCATAACACTCCTACACCCCCCACATTCCAGCCCTGAGCCCATCATACACCCCATCTCCAGGCTCCTGCACTCTCACATCCCTAATCCCTGTCATAACACTCCTGCACCCCCCCCCACACACACACCCTAAACCCTTCATACACTCTAACCCAGATTTGTGCCCCCCTATATTCCCAGTCCCCCACCATAAGATTGACAGAACACCACTTGAATGGCTGCATGAAGCTGGATTTGATCAGTTATGATGTAAACTTCAAAGAAATGTGCAAAAAAGATGCAGCAGCAGAAGTCCCATTAAATAAAGTCTGTGCATACAATATTTCGTTTATGCTATCATTAATCATTATGTCAATTATCAATAATATTAACTTGTATATTTTCAGTCACGCAAATAGACATTCTTATACGGCTCTTTGTTGATCTCTTGTTTTAAATGTTGATTTAGTTTGGCTCTTTGGTTTGAAAAAGTTGCTGATTCCCCTACTAAAGCATTTGGCCTACCCTATTCCTGCAGCTGCATGGCCCATCTAACCTGCAAAGATTTGCAATGGTACAGATGAAACCACCATGTGGAAGCAGTTGCAGGATAATCCCAGTGCCAGATTTATACACAAACTAAGAAAGATACAGTTTAGGACATCAGACTATGAGGGGCCCCTGACTACAAAAAAAGTATTGGCCTGGGTTTTTTTGTTTTTTGTTTTTGGTGCTAATGCCTCTTAAATATGACTTAGCTTATTTGTCCTGCGGTTTCATTTATACAAGTACCCTCTTTCCTTATATACCCGTGCCTCTGTAAACTTCACTCCAATTCATCTGATGAAGTGGGCTTTACCCATGAAAGATTATGCCCTAATAAATTTGTTAGCCTCTAAGGTGCCAAAGGCCTCCTCGTTTTTATAAATGAGCTTACTTAAACAACTTAAAAAGGTATAATGCCAAAACTGAAATTCCCAGTAAGCTTCAAGGAAACTTTTCAAAGACACCATAATAGAAGCTTAATTTAAATGTATACCCCAAAGTGCTACTGTTGCTTAATAACCAAGTAGAAGAAGCAGTGAGAGAGAAAAAGGCATAGATTTAAAAGTGGAAGTTAAATCCTAGTGAGGAAATTAGAAAGCACAAACTCTGTCAAATGAAATGTATAAATATAATTAGGAAGGTCAAAGAGAATTTGAAGAACAGCTAGACAAAGTCTTAAAAAGTAATTGCAATTTTTAAGTACATCAGAAGCAGGGAGCCTGCTAAACAACCATTGGGGCCACTGAACCATGAAGATGCTTATGGGACTGTCAGGGCTGTTTCTCACTCTGCTACTCCAAGTGCAGAAGATGGGGGGCCCGCAAGAGACCTTAAATACCTTGCCTCTATAGGCTCTGTTTACAAAACTCAGGAGAGTCACAGATTCATGGACTTGGAGAAAAAAAAACAACAACAAAAGCTGCCACCATCAAGTGATTTAACCCTGAAAAAACAGGAAGGAACACTTGAATTCCTTCCACAGGGGTACCCCAAGTTCTTTTGTCCCAAGAGAGCTTCAAAAAAGAAATGAGAAAACAAACTGCAGTCTCTGGTAGCTAACTGCTCAGTCTTTGGCAGGCAGGCAGACACATACACACAGACTTCCTGTTTTCTTCCAGGACACAAGAATCAAATCATTGCCTTAAAAAAGGTGATTGTATTAAAAAAACAAAAAGATATACTTGACAAAGCATACTTGGTTTCTAGGTGTTACAGAGCAATAAAATAAAACAAATTAAAACACAGGGAACATCTCTTAATTAGATAGTGAATGGGGGACGGAAGGCATAGGTTCACACAGAGAAGTTTAACCAAACAACGAAAGAAAAATACTCTGATCGTGACTAAATATACTTTTTTCCTCTACTCATGATCTGTGCTGATCTGTACTTCAAGGCCTCGTTCACTCCCATGTCCAATATTTCTTATGGGCAAGGTACTGCATCTGTTCCCTCAAGTCCTTAACTTAGAATTCTCTTTCAAAGAAAGCAGACAAGCTATCTAAATACAATTCAGATTTCAGCACTGTATCCCCGTTGGTTCTTCTGGCCCCCTGCCAACACTCTTGCTAGCTACCTGAGTTTAACCCCTGAGGCTCTTTTGAAAGAGGCTTTTTCAAATGGTACTTTTGAAAAAGCCTCTTTCGAAAGAGCCTCTAGACAACAACCAGTACTTTCAAGAAGCAAGCCGCTTTTTCAAAAGAGAGCACCCAGGCAGTCTGGATGCTCTCTTTCGAAAAAGCCCTGTTTGCATTCAATAACGCCTTTTTTTGAAAGAGCACTTTCGAAAAAAGGCATTCTTCCTTGTAAAATGAGGTTTACTGCGGTCGAAAAAACTACCACGTTCTTTTGATTTAATTTTGAAAGAATGCAGCGGCACTCTAGATGCAGGGGAAATTTTTTCAAAAAGGCCACTTTTTTTAAAAAAACGCTGTAGTATAGACACACCCTTAGTCACTGGGTGCTGGCCAGCACTCCTCCTATCCATCACAGAGGCTATTAAAGATTATAAGGCCATTGGGGGAAACAAAATGAATTATTTGCATCTGTCTTTATGGCTGAGTATGTGAGGGAGATTTCCAAAGCTGAACCATTCCTTTTAGGTGACAAATCTGAGGAACTGTCCATATTGAGGTGTCATTGGAGGAGATTTTGGAACAAACTGATAAACAGTAATTAAGCACGAAGATCATAGAACCATAGAACTGGAAGAGACCTCAGAAGGTCATCAAGTCCAGCCCCCTGCTCTAGGCAGGACCAATCCCAACTAAATCAACCCAGCCAGGGATTTGTC